GCAGGAGCAAGCCGGCCAATCAGGTCACGCGAAAGGTCATCGCAGAACTCGCTCCGCAGCAGATTCCGCGTTCTTCGGGAGCTTCAACTCCAACAGTTCGCTCCGCACCGGCAGTGCGCGCGAGGTGCCGCGGAACAGCGATGACGGCGCGGGGAGCAGCGGAAGCGAGATGGCCGCGCGCAGCCGACGGCAGGCCCTTTCGACGCTGTCCGCGCGGGAGCGCGAGGCTCCTGGCGGTCGAGAAGCGGACGGTTGGCAGCAGCGGCGGCGTAGTCACGAGCACCAACCGCCGTCAAGAATGGTTTCCGTGAGCTCGAGGGAAGCTCCACACGAGGGTTCAGGGTCAGCCAGTCCCGGCAGGGTCCCTGCTTCGAACTCGGAAGGATTAGGTTTTCCCGGGGGGAGGGCCGCAGGGTCGGGTCGGGCCGCAGCAGCCATGAGAGCAGCAGGGATGGACTCGGGAGGCCCAAGCATGGCACGAGCGGGAACGGCGCCGGTAGGGGGAGCGCTGGAACGGAAAAAAGGGCCCGTTGCGGCGCCCCATTTGCGGCCTGACCGCCGGCGCACTATGAGCTGGGACGGCAGCAACGACCCTCTGGCTGCCGGCCGGCTAGACCCGTCTGTCTTAGCCGGAGCTGTGGTATACGACCGAGCAGCGTCCCCCGTAGCGGGATCAGGCCCGCATCCGGGCAGAGAGCCGCGCCCGTCCTCCAGCGGGGCTGGCTCGTTAGCAGCGCGCAGACAGCGCAGACTGTCCCCGTTACAAGCCTCAGGCCAGCTCACGGGTCCACTTGTCAATTCTGAAGCCGTGGCATCCCCGCAGCTGCCACCGCGCGCAGGCGGGGGGGCGTCAGGGGCGGGAGTTAGGGTTTCCGCACGGGAAGGGGCGGGCGGCGGGCTGTGGTCGCCTCAAGAGCAGGCAAGCGGGGCACACGGTAGGGGGGGCAGTGGCGGGGCGGCGGCAGGGGGGAGCGGCGCAGCTGAAATGCAGGTAGGACCTGGGATTCCGAGGGGAGGGTCGATAACTGCGAGCTCTCCCAGGCACAGGCTCTCTAGAGGAAGCAGTGGGGGCATTAGCACAGGCGCCTCCCTCCCTCCCTTGTCCCCTCAGGTTCAGCAGGTGATGCAGCACGGACACACAGGGCAGCAGCAGGGATCGCAGGTACCTCTGCCGCGTGCAATGACAACCGTTGATGGGATGGTTGAGGCGATGGATCGAGGGTCAGCAGAGCAGCGGGTGGAAGCGGTGGTGCAGCTGAGAGCAGCAGTGAAGGAGAGCTGTGAGAACAGGCAGCGGCTGCTGGAGCGAGAAGACGGAGTGCCCATCCTTCTTGACTTTCTCGATGAGGCCGTTGCTGCCCTGGGCGGAGGTGGAGGGAGGGCGCCAGGGCGGGAGGGGCGGGGGCGGGGAGTGATGGATCCTGCACTGGTGGTGGACTGTGCAGTGGCTGTGGTGCTACAGCTGTGCCAGTCACGCGATGGAGCAGCCGAGTTTATCGATGTGGGTGGTGTGCCCTCCCTTGTGGATGTGCTCTCTCACACCGTGCCAGCCGGCACGGCAGGAGCAGGAGCGTCAGCAGGAGTTGCATCAGGCATTTCGAGCATGGTGAAGGGGAATGCAGCTGCGGCGCTGTTTGCGCTTTCCTCGTGGGACGATGTGATGGATGAATCTGTGAATGCGAGCAGGAATGGCAATGGGGCTGGCCCGAGCAGGAACATTCACAAGACTAAGATTCAAGCTGCAGGGGCCATCCCATCGCTTGTTCGCCTGCTCACGAATGAGACGGCGCGGTGCAGAAAGGACGCGGGGCTTGCCCTCTTCTCCCTCTCACAGGACCTGTCGTGTGCGAATGAGATCGTGAGGGAAGGCGCTGTGAGCATTCTAGTGGATCTTCTGGGGGATAAAAGGCCAGGGGTTGAGGAGAAGGCCATGGCTGTGTTGGCCAATCTTGCGAGGACACGTGGCGGGCAAGAGGCGCTGTTGGCAGTGGAAGGGACGCTTGTGATATCGGATGTGCTGGAGAGTGAGTCTGAGAGGGCAAGGGAGGAGGCGCTGTGGACGCTGCACCATCTGGTTACCACAGGGGTTGTGGCGCCTGCGGTGCTGCTGAATGATGGAGCGCTGTTCCCGATTGCAAAGCTGGCTTGCAAGAAAGGGGCTCTTGCGGAGGCAAAGGAGTTGCACCGGATTTTGATGACTGCGAGAAAAGGTGGTGGTGAAAAATGATGTGGTTAGTGCAGGTAGGATGATTAGGGTCAGTAAGCTGCACGGCTGTTCTTGAAACAGTTTATGATGAAAATTCGTACTAAACAGTAGTTGTCTGGTTTGACTAGAAGCTTTCAGAAAAGTAATCATGAAATGTGCTGGTGAAGATTTGGGTGCAGTATGAATATTACTATTAATGCTGGTTCAAACCACCGTACGCGCTGCAACTCTGATTGAGCTTACCTAGATGTTGGGTGGATATTTGTCAGACTGTCTGCCGTGGCAGTCTGGTCTGGAGTCTAACCAAAACATGCCGCCCACGTGACCGCCACAGCCCAGGCCTGACACAACCCCACTTTCTCCTTTTCGTGGGAACTGTCGCGTTACATTTTGTTTCGCAATCTTTCGTCGACTCGTCCCACCAAACACCAGAGGCTACCAACCAACTGTTCCTCCTCCACGCACCTGGTGCCTGCTAAGGTAAGGTATTGTCGCGTGACTGTGAGCTGAGCTGTCGTCCTGTCCGCCACCACAAGCCAATCATTCGCCAGCGGATGCTGGTCGATTCATCCATTCCGTATGCGGCGGGTGCCTCGGCTAGCGTGTTTCACTTATTGACCTAGCGCGCTGCCAGGTTATAGGTTTCTAATATTGGAGAAAGTTGGTGCTCAGATCGTCTGAAGGTAGTTTACTTTATTCCGCGACGCTCCATGCTGCATTGCTCAGCGCTTTCCGTCCTCGTGTCGCATTCTGCCGAAGCACACTGCGATTTAGCGCATGATGTAGGTTAACGCTTCAACAATATAAATATTAGTGTTTATTCCCACGTATTGCCTTACACTAAAACCGGTTCCTTGATAGAATGGCTACCGTAACTCACACATAACGCAACTGCACTTGAAATTTTGCTTTCCGACTCGCCTTCTCGTCTCGTGTCGTTTCAGCAGCAATCGTATACCGGCCGTCACACACCATCCCCCCCACATCATCTCTCCAAACAGTCTGTAACCACCTTCACTGCCGGCCATCATGGGTTGGAACAACCTATTCGGCAAAAAGGGCGACTCGCTGACTCAATCCAACTCCCAGCGCAACCTCAGTAAGGCTCGGCGGCAGAAAGGCGAGGCGGAGTCATCCTCTCCAGGGGGGGCGCAAGCGGCGGAGGCGCAGGAGGCGGCGCAGCGCTCCCCGCAGGCGTCGCAGCAGCCGCTGGCGTCGCCCACGCAACTATCCCCGAAACCGATGGGTGCGGGGGGGCAGCAGGGGGTTCTGCAGCGGGGAGCACGCGACGAGCAGCAGCAGCGGCAACAGCAGCAGTTTGCGCAGCGCCCGCAAGCGCAGCCGTCGCAGGCGCAAGCGCACCCGCCGCCCCCTCCGCAGCAGCAAGCGCCGTTCTCTCAGCCGCTCATGCAGGCTCCCCATTGGACGGGCGGAGGCTCCGCCGCCGCCGCTACCGGGCGGAGAAGCGCGGAGCGCAGCAGAGCGCAGGAGGGCATGGGCGGAACAGGGCCGGGGGGAACGAGCCCAATGGGGGGGGTTAACATGAGCGCATTGGTTGGGGGGACGATGGTTGGGGCAGTGGGGGGAGCAACTCCGCCCAGGGACGCGCGGGTGCCTGGCGCGGGCGCGGGAGGGGTGCAGGCGAAGGCGCAGCACGACGACGGCATGGGGCGAGGCGCGTACCCCGCCTCGCGCGACTACTACCCCTCGCAGGGCGTCCCCACGCCGCACGGCACAGCCTCGGGCGCAGCTTCGGAACCCTGGCGCCAAGCCAGTGAGGCAGGCTCGGCGGTACGGCCGTGGGAGGTGCTGGGGGGGATGAAGGAGGAGGAGTGGGCGGCGTTCAAGGGGTGGGTGGAGTCCACGTGGCGCTGCCGCCGCTGTGGCAGCCCCAGGGACGACTTCACCGAGCACCCTGTAGCCATGGCCCTGCTGCAGCGCTGCGGTATCACCCCCCCCAGCACCGCCGGCCAACCCGCCTCCTCCCCCCTCCACTCGGACGGCAGCGGAAGGTTCTCCGCACCTTCCTGGCAGCAGCAGAGAGGAGGGGATGTGCAGAGGGGGGGTGTGGACGCGCGCAGTCACGGGGGCGGGTCCCCCCTGAATCCCTCCTCGAAGCGCCACTCCTTCGATGCCTCCCCCCTTGCCTCCACCACCACCGCCAGCACCTTCACCGCCGGGCTAGGCCCGGACGCATGCCCGCACCTGCGCGGCAGCAGCGCGGACGGGGAGGGCAGCGGGGAGAACAGCGGGCGGCTCGGCCCTGGGGGGGACTACCAGGCGCAGGGGAACAGAAACTTTGACGAAAGCGCCCTGCAGGAGGTGCGCGCGCGGCTGGAGATGGGGGGAGTGGGCGGAGGCGGGGGAAGAGGCGGAGGGGGGCCTGGGGGCGGGGGCGGGCTGGCGCGGACGATGAGCAACACGGAGGTGCTGCAGAGGAAGCTGCTGGCGGCCATCACGCGCGCGCACCAGGTGTATTTCATCGACAAGGAGCCGAACGGCAGCCTGGTGTTTGACTACCTGCTGTCCGCGCTGCTGGAGGTCACCGAGTCCATGTTTGGATTCATCTCGTCCGCTCTGCTCAAGGCCGACGGCACACCGTACCTCAAGGTGCGTGTGATGATGTCTTGCCTCACGCGGTGATGCAACAAGCTGTCATCAGCAGGCTGTGCACGCTGCCACGCCGCCTCTCCTGTTTCTGCCGCTCCTTCAACCTCCTTCTCTCCCCACCATCACTCACTGCTCTCTCCCTCCCCTTCCCCTCATCCCCTCCTCCGCCCCACACTCCCTCCAGACGCACGCGATGACGAACGTGGCGTGGAGCAAGGAGCTGCGCGCGTGGTACGCGGCGAACAGCCACAAGGGGCTGGTGTTCACCAACCTCAACACGCTGCACGGCACCGTCGTGCTCACGGGGCAGCAGGTGCGTTGGTGTTGAGGGCGAGAAGGGCCAGCAGGCGCATGCCGGGCACGTGCTGCTGGCATGACGCAGCTGTTCACGCGGCAGCAGGTGAGCGAGAAGCCAAGGGCGAACAGCCACAAGGGGCTGGGCTGGTGTTCACCAACCTCAACACGCTGCACGGCACTGTGGTGCTCACGGGGCAACAGGTGGGTTAGAGAGGGCAGCAAATGGTCGAGAGCAGGCAGCAGCAGGTGGTGAACCCAGGTGCACCGCTTGAGAGTTGGTGGCAGGCAGGCATGCATGTGGTGTGGTGTGGTGTGGTGTGCTGCTCCCAGGCCAGCAGGTTTATGCAAGGGGGACAAACTGGCAGCCAGCAGGCTGTCGCATTTGCTTCTGCGTATGTGAATCCAGAGCACACCCACCTACCTGCTCTCCTGATAGAGCGTTTCATGGTCATCCCCCTCTACACGTGGCCAGCCGAGCACTCACGCACTCTTTCCTATTCCAATGCCAATGCCAATGCCCTGCCCTGCCGTGCCCTGCCCTGCCCTGCCGTGCCCTGCCCTGCGCTCAGGTGCTCACGAATGACGCGCGCAACAACCCCAGGTCCAGGGGAGTCCCGCCAGGCCACCCTTTGATCGACAAGTTCACGGGCATCCCCCTCTACACCGGCACCGAGCTCATCGGCGCCTTTGCCGTCGCCAACCACGTACTTTCACTCCCTCACTCTCTCCTATGCTAATGCCTGCCCTGCCCTGCCCACAGGTGCTGACGAACGACGCTCGCAACGACCCCAGGTCGAGAGGAGTCCCTCCAGGCCACCCTTTGATCGACAAGTTCATGGGCATCCCCCTCTACACCGGCACCGAGCTCATCGGCGTCTTTGCCGTCGCCAACCGGGCGGCGGGGTATGACGAGCAGCTCGTGAAGGAGATCGAGCCGCTCACCATGACCATCGCCCAGATGATCTATGCCGTGAATGAGCGGAAGAGGAGGAAGGAGGCGGAGCTTCACTTGTCGAGCGTAGTGCAGGTGAGTAACAGGAGAAAGAGAAGGAGTGGGAGAGGGAGAGGGAGAGGGAGAGGGAGATGGAACTGCTCACCATGACGATAGCGTAGATAATTCAGAAGGAAGAGGTGAAAGGAGGCAGAGCTGCACTTATTGAGCCTTGTGCAGTTAAGTAACGCGAAATAGAGGGGGCGAGGAAGAGAGGGAGATGGCAGAGCGCAGAGCACCCACGTCACGTCCATGAGCGATAGAGGGGGAGAGGGAGGTGGAGGGGAGGAGGGCAGGAGGGAGAGGGCAGGAAGGGGCGAGAGGACAGCAGGAGGCAAGAGGGCAGCAGGCAGAGCGCATAGCACCCACGTGACGTCCATGAGGCTTTCTCTTGACGACTCTCTCATGGACGCATGGCACCCACTCTCTGCTCTCACCCCCTTCCCACCCTTCCAGGTGGCAAAGGAGGGAATCATGTCCCTGGCCCACAGCGGCCATGTGACGTCAATGAACCTCTCAGCGCGGCAGATGTTTGGCTTCGCGCAGCCGGGGGACGCGCCCCTGCCGGGCAGCATGCGCGAGGGCGTGGCGGCGCCCGCCAACCTGCAGCTCAAGGACCTGCTCGTGGAGATCGATGGGCACCGCGACATGCTCACTGCTGGAGGTGCGTGCTGTTGGGCTTGCTCTTGTGTGTAGTGTAGCTGTGCTATATTGGAGTTGACATGCTCGTGCTCTTGAGTTGAGAGGGCGTGGCTGCACCCGCCAACCTGCAGCTCAAGGACCTTCGTGGAGATTGATGGGCACCGCGACATGCTCACTGGCGGGGGTGCGTGCTGCTCCGGGAGGAGGGAAGGGGGGTGGGTGCTAATGGGGCTTCGCTCTGAGGAAGAACGGGGGAGGTTGTGGCAGGAATTGCTCTTGTAGGGTGAGCGGTGCGGTGGTGCTTTGAGCGTGCTGCGCCATCTCCCTCTCCCACCGCTCCTCTCTCTCCTCTTTCCCACCCCCCTTTTTTGTCCTCCTTCGTGCACCAGGGCTGGACCACGCGTCAGGGCAGGTGCACAAGGGCACGGGGTTCCGCACGGACGGCAGCACGTTCCCCCTCGAGATCTCGCTGTCCAAGGGCAACTACGACACCGTCTTCTATGTCGCCGTGCTCAGAGACATCTCCGAACGACTCGAGGCGGAGAAGAAGCTCAAGGTGAGAAAGGGCGTTGTTAGGAAGACACTGTATCAGGCAGTGGTGCGTCAGAGTGCACCACCTCCTGGGTCCGCATCCCCTCACCATTTGTCCATGTGCCACTCCGTGCACCACTCACCAATCCCACATGCTCCATTCTGCACTCTCCCACCGTGCATGCGAGCAGGAGAGCGAGGAGCGGTGGCTGTATGCGCTGTCGGGCAGTGATGACGGCGTGTGGGACTGGAACGTGCGCGACAACACCATGTTCTTCTCCGACCGCTGGAAGCAGATGCTCGGGTGAGTGGCGCGAAGGGTGGGTGAGCGCATGCATGGGCACTTGGATGAGGTGAGTGCAGCACATGCTGGGTGAAATTAATGTGACTGATGGAAGCGAGATCAATCGGACCAGCTGGAGTGCGACACATGGGCTGGTATTTGCCTTCACACCCCTCCCACTCATGCCCGCCTCCCAATTATACTTCTTCCCACCCCGCCTCCCCTCCTTCCTCCAGCTACGAGCCGGGCGACATTGGTTCGACGCTAGACGACTGGGAGCGGCTGCTCCACCCGGAGGACAAGGACCGCGCGTACGCGGACCTGAAGGAGCATCTGGACGGCGTGACGGCGCAGTTTGTGAACGAGCAGCGGCTGCGGTGCAAGGACGGGTCGTGGCGGTGGTTCCTGCACCGCGGCAAGCTGCTCTCCAAGACGGACGACGGGGAACCGCTGCGCTTTGTGGGCACGCACACGGACATCACGGATAGGAAGGTTGCGGAGCAGGCGATGATGGATGCCAAGGACGAGGCTGAGAGGGTGTCTCGGGCCAAAGCAGGTGCGCAGACATGTTGCTCCGACCTTTCCCCCCCTCTCCCCCACCACCACCAAGGCCTTCCGTCCCTTCCCTCAAACCACTCGCATCAAAGCACTCACCGCTGCGGTTCGTGGCCACGCACGCGGATAACACGGTCCGCAAGGTGGCGGAGCAGGCGATGATGGATGCTAAGGACGAGGCTGAAAGGGTGTCCCGCGCCAAAGTAGGTGCGTAGGGCCACTCTTGTCTTGTGCCTTCCCTTCTTCCTGCAAGTAGCTAGCACATCCCTCTCCCCCTCCCCCCACTTTCCCCTACATCACCCTCCCGACCTTCCTCCACCTTCCCAACAACCCCCTCCCCTCCCTTCACTTGCAGACTTCCTAGCCACTATGTGGCACGAGATCCGCACCCCCATGAACGGAGTGGTGGGCATGACAACCTTCCTTGTGGGCATGACAACCTTCCTTGTGGGCATGACAACCTTCCTTGTGGGCATGACAACCTTCCTTGTGGGCATGACAACCTTCCTTGTGGGCATGACAACCTTCCTTGTGGGCATGACAACCTTCCTTGTGGGCATGACAACCTTCCTTGTGGGCATGACAACCTTCCTTGTGGGCATGACAACCTTCCTTGTGGGCATGACAACCTTCCTTGTGGGCATGACAACCTTCCTTGTGGGCATGACAACCTTCCTTGTGGGCATGACAACCTTCCTTGTGGGCATGACAACCTTCCTTGTGGGCATGACAACCTTCCTTGTGGGCATGACAACCTTCCTTGTGGGCATGACAACCTTCCTTGTGGGCATGACAACCTTCCTTGTGGGCATGACAACCTTCCTTGTGGGCATGACAACCTTCCTTGTGGGCATGACAACCTTCCTTGTGGGCATGACAACCTTCCTTGTGGGCATGACAACCTTCCTTGTGGGCATGACAACCTTCCTTGTGGGCATGACAACCCTCCTTGTGGGCATGACAACCCTCCTTGTGGGCATGACAACCCTCCTTGTGGGCATGACAACCCTCCTTGTGGGCATGACAACCCTCCTTGTGGGCATGACAACCCTCCTTGTGGGCATGACAACCCTCCTTGTGGGCATGACAACCCTCCTTTTAGACACCGACCTCACGCCCGACCAGCGCGACCGTGTAGTCACGATCCGGGATTCAGGCGACATGCTGCTGCTGCAGATCATCAACGACATTCTCCACTACTCCAAGATCAAGCAAGCTCTTGTCTTCCCTTTTCCCCTCCCCCTCCCCTCCCGCCTCCAGATTTCCTCGCCACAATGAGCCACGAGATCAGGACACCCATGAACGGCGTGGTGGGCATGACAGCCCTGCTCCTCGACACAGACTTAACCCCCGAGCAGCGCGACCGCGTGGTGACCATTCGAGACTCGGGAGACATGCTGCTGCAGATCATCAACGACATCCTCGACTACTCCAAGATCGAGTCGGGCAAGCTGGACATGGAGCAGACGCTCTTCAACGTCGTTCAAGCAGTAGAGAGGGTCGCGGAGCTGCTCATTCACAACGCCGAGTCCAAGGGGTTAGATATCGTCATTGAGATCGAGCCGGACACGCCCGTGTTCCTGGTGGGGGACGCCGGGCGCACGCTGCAGGTGCTGATTAATCTGGTGTCGAATGCGATTAAGTTCACTGAGAAGGGGTATGTGAAGTTTCGGTTGGAGGCGGAGATCGGCGCGCCGTGCCTGCTGCAGCTTCCCTCCTCCACCTCCGCCTCTTCCGCCGCTGCTGCTGCTGCTGCCGCTGCTGCTGCAGCGGGGGGTGCGGCTGGGTCCCCTTTCAGGGAGTCTCCTGGTGCGAGTGGCACGAACAGTCCCGCGCACGGGGCGTCAGGGAGCATAGGGGCGGCGATGCTGGCAGCGCAGCAGGAGGCGCGGGCGGCACGGGCACGCGCGCAGGAGGCAGCGGCGGCACAGGAGGCGGGGGTGCTGTACTGGGTGTGCCACGTCAGCGACACGGGGATTGGTATTCCCAAGGAGCGCATTGGCCGACTTTTCACCAAGTTTTCGCAGGTGGGTCCACCCACCTGATCTGGCTAAGTTTCAGCCCCTCTCTCAGCCAAAATCTCAAACCCTGGTTTACTTGCCATTCTGCCTTACTATTCATGCCGTTCCTGCTCTGCCATCTGTGCCCTGCCTGACGTGTGTCTCGTGCCCCGTGGCATGTCCCTGCTGTGCCTCACCCCCCCGCCTTCAGGTGGACGCATCCACAACACGAAGGTTCGGAGGAACAGGGCTCGGCCTAGCCATCTCAAAGCAGCTGGTGGAGCTGATGGGCGGCCGCATCTCAGTGCACAGCGAGTTCCGCCGAGGCTCCACCTTCACAGTGCGCCTGCCCGTCAACACCCACCACCCCGCCTACGCCACCGTCGCCGCGCTCAACCCGCCGCTCCCCACACCCTCCACGCCCTCAGCCCACTCGAGCCACTCCGCGTCGCTGCTCTCCCCGGAGTCCCCTGCTGCGGCCGGCACGCCGTCCAAGGCGCCGCCCTCCTCGTCCGGCCCGCTGCCCGTGCCGCTGGTTGTGCCTCCGGAGTTCCAATCCATTCGTGTGCTGCTCGTCAGCCCTCTGGAGGTGAGTGCCGCTCTATACCTGCCCCTCCCCACCCCCTCCACGCCGTCCAAGGCGCCGCCCTCGTCCGGCCCGCTGCCCGTGCCACTGGTTGTACCGCCAGAGTTCCAATCCTTTCGTGTGCTGCTCGTCAGCCCGCTGGAGGTGAGTCAATCCGGTGCTCTTTTGTTGCGACTTTTGAGGCGCCTCAAGGGTCGTCGTTGGGTGCGCTGCCGGTGCCGCTGGTGCTGCCCCCGGAGTTCCGGTCCATCCGCGTGCTGCTCGCCAGCCCGCTTGAGGTGAGAGCAAGGTGGGCCTGTGGTTGAAGCGCCTGAGAAGCCACTTGCATTCCCCGCAAGCTACTGCCCGTGCCACTGGTGGTGCTGCCAAAGTTCCAATCTATTCCTGTGCTGCTTGTCAGCCCACTCGAGGTAAACTCTTGCACACGACAGCCTACTCAGGTTCACCCCCTTCTCAGGTTCGCCCCCTTCTCAGGTTCACCCCCTTCTCTGGTTCACCCCCTTCTCAGGTTCGCCCCCTTCTCAGGTTCACCCCCTTCTCAGGTTCACCCCCTTCTCTGGTTCACCCCCTTCTCAGGTTCGCCCCCTTCTCTGGTGCTGCTCCTCACGCTTTTCTTCCCATGTCCCCTCACCCTCGTCTCCACCCCCCCCCCCCCCATTCCCCCCAGGTGAGCACTAGCGCCATGCAGAAGCAGCTGGAGGCATGGAAGGTGCTGCACGCATGCCATCCACTCTGGTCCCTCCCTCCCTCCCTCCCTCCCTCCCTCCCTCCCTCCCTCCCTCCCTCCCTACCATCCTCATTCCCCCTCACCCTTTCCTTCCAATGTCCTCCCACCCTTCTCCTCCCAACCACCCCCCTTTCACCCCCAGGTGACAGTGAGCGCCATGCAGAAGCAGCTGGAGGCATGGAAGGTGCCGCACGCGTGCCTCACCTGCACGCCAGAGGAGGCCTTCCTCAAACGCCTCCCGGCCGGCACTCTGCCGCCCTCGCCGCCCCTGCCAGCCGGCCAACCAGCGCCCGGCACGTGGCGAGACGGGTCGGCGCGCAAGGGGCTGGCAGAGGATTACGATTTGATTGTGATTGACTGCTCCAACAAGCCGCAGCTCATTGACCCCATGTCCTCTGTGAGTGGGCTTAGCGTGCTGCTGTAGCGTGCTGTTCCCGAGTCGAATCAAATAGGGGCTGGCAGGGGACTATGATTCGATTGTGGTTGACTGCTCCAGCAAGCCACAACTGATTGACCCCATGTCCTCTGTAAGTGGGGGTTGTAGCGTGCTGCTGCTGTAGCATGCTGTTTCCATCGGTCTCCTTTTTGCACAGGCAGCGTGTGCGCATGATGCTGCTGTTGTCCCACATCCCTTGCCAACTCCCCAGCCTTCCCATCTCATTCTTCTCTCATTCCTCTCCCTTGCTTCCCTCGCCCCCCCTCCCCTCCCTGTGTGCGCTCCTGCAGGCGGTGTTGGAGATGGGAGCGCCCAAGTCCCCATCCCCCCCAAGTCCCCATCCCCCCCAAGTCCCCATCCCCCCCATCTCATTCTTCCCCCCTCCCTCTCCGTCCCTCTCCCTCCCCTCCCCCCCCTACAGGCGGTGTTGGAGATGCTAGGTCGGGAGCGAGTGGGGGTGGTGGTGCTGCTGAAGCGGTCGCAGGTGACGGAGAGGACAGAGGGCGAGCTCAAGGCTGTGCGCTACTGGCGTGACCGCTGCCCCGCCATGCTCAATAAGCCCATGGTATGCACGCGGGGTAGGCAACCATGGGTTTTGCAATTAAGCATTGGGAGATGAAGTGTGTTGTCTCAACTGCGGGGTGCGATGCAGCCTGGCGTGCAGCTCAATCATGGCAGCAGCAGCAGCAGCAGCAGGCGCTCTTCCTTCCCTCGTCCAGTTTCATTGCCTCCCATGTCGACAACCTTGGAATCACCCCCTTCCTCTCCGCCACTACCTCTCTCCTGTCATTTCCCCTCCTGTCAACGTCCCCCTGTGTGCCGTTCGGTGTGACCCAAGGCACTCCTGGAGGCAAAGGAAGCAGCCGTGCAGATCACCAACGGCGAATGGCTGTTTCTGTCTGCTGCCCCCTTAGTCTTTCTCTCTCCTCGTCCGCCCTCCCCTCCCCCCCACACATGCAGGTGCGTCCCAAGGCACTGCTGAAGGCCATGGAATCGGCCATGCGGAGCACGCCAGGCGGCGACGGGCTGTTCCTGTGCCCATGGCCTCCTTAGTCACTATCCCCATCCTCTGTCCCTCCCCTTCCCCTTCCCCTCTGTCGCCCGCTACCCATGCGTGCCACCAGGTGCGCCCCAAGGCACTGCTGGAAGCCATGGAATCGGCCATGCAGAGCACACCGGGCGGCGAGGGGCTGTTCCTGTCGTCGGGGCGGCGCCGGCAGCAGCCGCGGCCCGCTGCTCGGAGCATGGGGCCCAAGCTGAGTGGCCGCATCCTGCTGGCAGAAGACAACCTGGTGGGTGGCAGAACGATAGGCAGGGTGGGGGTTCTTTTGGTTCGCAAACAAAGCTTGCTTACACTGGATACCAACGGACGGACCTACGGCAGGCAGGGTGGTATGGTGGCAGGGTGGTATGGTGGCAGGGTTGTGCGAGAGTGGCAGGGCGTTGTTAGTGGGTGGCAGGGCGTTGTTAGTGGGTGGCAGGTCGATGCTGCCACAGCTGGGGGTGAGCATTGAGTTAACGCACAAGTCGCCCTTTCGCCTCACTCTCTCTACCCGTCCCCTGTGTGCGTTTTCTGTGTGGCCCGATCGTGAGCAGATAAACCAGAAGGTGGCCAAGTCGATGCTGGCACAGCTGGGGGTGAGCATAGACATCGCCAACAATGGCGTGGAGGCCGTCAGCCTCTTCCAGAAGAACAAATACAACCTCATCCTCATGGACTGCCAGGTCAGCACCTTGTCTTCATGGACTGCCAGGTCAGCACCTTATCCTCATGGACTGCCAGGTCAGCACCTTATCTGCATGGACTGCCAGGTTAGCAACCTCATCCTCATGGACTGCCAGGTCAGCACCTTGTCCTCATGGACTGCCAGGTCAGCACCTTATCCTCATGGACTGCCAGGTCAGCACCTTATCTGCATGGACTGCCAGGTTAGCAACCTCATCCTCGTGGACTGCCAGGTCAGCACCCTCATCCTCAGGTCTGCTTTTGAGTCGACTCAAAAGCGGACTGCCAGATCAGCAATCTCATCCCCATGGACTGCCATCACACAGCTGCTACTCTGGTGTTGTGAGCCACTCTCGGCCATGTGAGCCACTTGCATGCTCATGTCCATGTATTTATTCAAACTAGTCTCTTTCCAAACACGTGCACATGAGCAATGAGCAGATGCCGGAGATGGATGGATGGGCAGCCAGTCGCAGGATCAGGGAGCTGGAGGCACAGCAGGCACAGCCATCCGTCACCATCGTCGCTCTTGTAAGCCCCTTCCACCACCCTGCGCCTTCCCCCCACCTCCCTCTACCTGCTTCCTTTCTCCCCCTCCCTCCGCCTCCTCCCTCCCCTGTGTTTGCCCTTCACCTTGATCTGTATGCCCCTCTTTTAAGCCATGCGTCTGTCTCACCTACTCATTAGCCTCTGTTTCCTTGTAAACTCATCTCCCCACTACCAGCACTTCTTTCTTTTCCTCTCTCTGTGTTTCCCCACCCTTACCTCACACATCCTCGCCACATTTCCAACCCGCCGTGCATTCATCTCCCCTCGCCCCACTTCTCTCCCCCCTCCCACGTGTGCACCCACTGCCAGACGGCCAACGCTCTCAAGGGCGACAGGGAGCAGTGCCTGGCTGCCGGCATGACAGGTGGGTGCATGGGGATGGGGATGGGGCCGCCACGTGTGTGGGGGGGAGTGGGTTGTACGTTGTGGGCTTCACGCATATCTCTGCTCCTCCCTTTCCCTGGCATCTCTCAACATTGCTGCTTCCTTGCTCCTGCTCCTCTCCCTTTCCCCCTTACAGACTACATGTCCAAGCCTGTCAGCAAGGCCGCTCTGGAAAGGGTCCTCAGGCAATACCTTGACAAGGCATCAACTGAGGGAGGCGTGAAATGAGCAAGGTGAGAGGGAGGTATACTAGACTGAGAAAGCCATGAACAGGGAGGGCAGGGCATGTGCAGTGGATGAATGTACCATAATTGGGACATACGCCTTAGAAGAGGCCGCGTGGTTCTGTTGCTCCTCCTGAGCCTGTTTCTTGTGACTTACTGCTGCATTCAGTCTCCTGTCTCCTGAGCTTGTCTGCCTGCGGCCAGGGGTACTAGTTCTAACAGTTGTCACCCATCCTGCAATACATCTGCAGGTGATTTTATGCGCATGCAATGAATTGCTGTGCATTATATAGTTCAGAATTACCTGCACTGGGGCAGCCGAATGGTTGGTTGGTTACCACTGACCAACCGTAATTTATTACGGGTATGTGCTTATCCTAATTATCCTAGTTCCTTCATTCAGGTTGCGCAAGCATTGTGTGTCAGAACAACCTATTAGTATGACTTGTTTTGTTCGAGATTGTCAGGGGAAGTACAGCATATTAGCGGTGTGCAACAGGATAATAACAGGGATATTTTGCACAAAATGTACAATCAGGTCAAAGAATACGTGTATCTCGTGTAAATTGGTTGGAATCTTAATCGATTCCCTACAGCGAAAGCCCAGCCCAGGTGTAGTTCGGAACCCCTTGGGAGCGCTGGCGATTCAGCAGCTGACGGACCCGTTGAAATTGGAGAACGAACGCCTGCAAAGTAAAAAATGGAAAGGAAGAAACAAGCTTATTGAGTGTGACGCCATGGTTAGTGTCGTGAATGTGTGAAACGCTCTTTCGCATCCAGCAGGGAAGGCTGGCGCGAAACGGGTATGCAGCAGTCACTGGGGTGCGATCTGGCCGCAGCTGTAATGAGGACCCTCTTGGCGACGGAGCCTGGTAGCTTGAGCAAGAGAGGCTGGTACGCGGCCATACATATAACGAGCAAAGTAGGTAACGAAGCTAGCTAACTCAGAAGCTTGGTCAAATTTACGACTAGTTGCGGGACAACGAGCGATGCCTCAGTCGGAGGATGCGGCATCGGAGACAGCGGCATGCGCAGGGGTAGGTTCAGCTGCTTTCGCAGCAACCCCCGCAACCGCAGCTCCTACCACTCAAGTTTCTTTCATCACAGGCAACGCTAGCAATGACCCGCACAACGAAAGCATGAAAAACTAGAATCCAATCAATGGAAAAGCGAGTAAAGCGCATAAACAAGTCACGGCCATCAGTTGGGAGCATTCTTGTCGCCAGTGCCAACCCGTAAGAGCGGCAGTCAGACTTCAACAAGGACAGGTATAGCATTCACCACACGGGCGTGACCAGTACCACAACGAATTTTATCGCAACGACAACTTCAAACATGCCTGGAAGAACGACAAAGCACGAAGAACGTCGAAATCGCAAGTTCAGTGGATGCGAGAAAGGGATTAGTGGTAGGAGGGCGAACAAACGGCTCCCATCAGAAATAATCCATCGTCAGCGGCGTACCGTCTGTCTGCAGCGAGTGCAGCGCGGGGCCATCGGAAACGGCGGTGAGATGACATCGCGCGGGAGACGAGGGATTCGCAACATGAGAAATCATATGGTCAGACTGTGAGCACACGGACACAACAAGGAAGAGAATGGCTTACCTCGGTAGACTCTCGAAAGATCTGTCGCGGCAGCGTCGCGCACATAGTATCGAATGCGTCACGCGCATAATTACAGCTGCATATTCACAGCGGCACAGAGGAGCTTCCACTCGTCCTGGGCCATGGTGTTACCCTGACGGAAAGAGGGAGCTTACTGGAACAGTTGTCCCACAGGGAGAACGCCTTCATCCTGGTGGCATGATTCTGTGAACCTAGGAACCGCAGATTGCCCAAGGATCGATGTTATGGTGACTGAGCATTTATGCTGAAATCCACCTTTCCAGAAAGAGCAGAGCTACAAGGGTGGATAACCACCAACGGGTCTGCTTGTGCAAGGTTCTCTGCTCGCGAAAATTCCAATTGTGCTGTTTCGCTCCTGGCTCGCGAACAGCGTATCAGAAATCGCGATCTTCCTTACTAGCTGTGCTTCTTCTAGACATTGTTAGACTATATCTAAAGTCCTCAGGATAGCAATCAGATAATTAATACTGTTGATTCGTTTTCTGTTTATCATCCACCACAAGAGGTTGTGTTACAAACAAATTCATCTATCCTTATCCTTTGATATATATCATAATGCAAAAAAAACCTCAATACTTTAATGCACCCTTCTTGGCACATCTCATTATCATTGCGACATAGAGATGTATCATTGTTATTTCGATCATGATAGGATGAGAAGGCACGCAACTGCAGCATCACGTCAAGTGCATATACTCTTTATATTCTGTAAGTTTGAACCATGTGGCTAATTGGCATTCGGAAGTGCACATTAAACAGGATAAAAAGTTGAAGGCCCATCTTAGATGCCATGCTTTCAAGACATATGGTAACGATAGCATATTCAAGGCTGCGTTCTTTCCTACACGTTTGCACCGAAAGCGCATTGCTCAAGCACAACTATACAGCAATCATGTGCATACAAGATGCCACGAATGAGGGTGCGATGTACCATAAGTGCTAGGACAGCAGCAAATCTCCATCCGACTGCCATATCACTCATCTATACGTGACCGCTTCTTAGAAGCCGAAGCCCTCCCCTCTCCCTCCCCATCTGCCTTCCTCTCCCCTTCCACCTCCATCGCACTCACCTCCCCTCCACGCCCTTTCCTCCCTGACCCACCACCACCTGCACTCCCAGGCGTTGATCTTGCACCCGCACCAGCAGCAGCAGCAGGGGGGCCATCTGGAGCGTCCATGTTGAGGTCAAACACAAACCCCTTTGCACTGGGTGTGCCTTCCCCATCACCCCCTCCCTCCCCTTTCCCATCCCCCCTACCTGCCGCTACAGCCGGACCAGTCTTCTTGCCCGCCGAACCACTCAGGCCCTTAGCAGCAGCAAGTGGAGTCCCAGCAGCCGTAGCAGCCGCTACAGTCGTGGATGGAGCATCGGCGGCAGTTGTAGCACCCACAGCACCAGCAGCAGCAGGGGCTTGCAGGTGAGTGGCAGGCGTAGCTGCAGTTGGTGCAGGAGGCAGGGCGTTACCAGCTGCAGCATCCTTCCCTGCATCGCCCACAGCCTCTTTATTAGCTGCTCCTTTCCCAGCGTCTTTGACCGCGTCTCTATCGCCGTGCGAGTCCTTCTTGGGCTTGCCCTTGTGCAGCTTCACCCGCACCTCGTCTGGTAGCATGTCCGGTGGCACCACCCCCTCCATGCCCAGATCACCGAACTGGAGGGAGAGAGAGGAGAGGGGGCATGGGAAAAGAAAGGGGGCGTGCAAGAGGAAAGCGCGCGTGAGAAAGGAAAGAGGGCGTGGGAGCAGAAGGGTGACATGTGTGATGGCACCACCCCCTCCATGCCCAGATCACCGAACTGGAGGGAGAGAAGGGAGGAACATCAGGGTGGTGGGAGCAGAGAGGTAGAGAGGGTGGGGAGCTGTGCTTTTGTGCAACCTACGCATGTGTGGTGTCACCACTCCCTCCTTGCCCAGTCGCCAAACTGGAGAGGGAAAGGAAAAGGAGCGGGGCAAGCACGACAACCCAAAACCTGAAAACATATACTCTGAGTTCTAGACTTTGAACGCGGTTCTGTGCGCACCAGCAGCACACCCTATTCACAGCACGGGCAGGGCAGCTCACCCTGTTGAAGGCCTCGATGTCGGACCGTGCAGCGAGGCGCAAGGCCCTCCAGCAGAAGACCTGCCCCACGTGATGGATCAGGGAGGGGGTATGGGGCAGGAGAGAGAGAGAGAGAGAGAGAGAGAGAGAGAGAGAGAGAGAGAGAGAGAGAGAGAGAGAGAGAGGCACATGGGAGGGAGGGGTGCATATTGAGAGAGAGGGGGGAAGCGAGACACAAGGTGGAGATGGAGAGAGGTGCATACACATGGGGAAGAAGGCGGAAAACAGGTCAAGAAGGAGGGTGGAGAAGAGTTGAAAGAAGACAAGAAATTGAATACTGCACGTTCCCAGACAGCCACCACCCAGTCTGCCCCTCATACCCCTGCTACCATTCCAACCTCCGCTGCTGCTGCATCCGCTGCTACCCGTGCTATCCATGCTACCCATGCTGCCTCTCACCTTGTCATTCGTCCGGTGGTACTCCGCCTCGATGCAATTCTCCGGGTCCATCTGCTCTCATGCAAGCAAGCAAGCATGCTGCCATGCTGCACCTGCTTCTAGTGCTGCCCCTGCTACCCTGCTACCCATGCTGCCATGCTGCACTGCTGCTAGTGCTGCCCGTGCTACCCGTGCTACCCATGCTGCCTCTCACCTTGTCATTGGTCCTGTGGTACTCCGCCTCTATGCAATTCTCCGGGTCCATCTGCTCGCTCACACACGCCACACAAGCAACACACGGACACGGGGAAAAAGGGGATTGTGGCACGGCAACAACACAACAGACTTGTAGTAAGAGGCGAACCAATCCCTTTGATAGATGAGTGGAGATGAGGGCGTTGATAGACCAGGCCACATTCCCAGCAATGAAATAGCTAGGCTGGGGATGAGGGCTCCACTGTGAATGGTGTAACACCAGGTATTCCATGTGGGAATGCAGTCCAAACACACTGTATGGAGGCCCATTAATACCAGTCGAATGCAGCAACCAGCATCACCTGCCGCGCTCACATCACCAGCCACACCACGCATGGCTCACATCACCAGCCACACCACGCATGGCTCACATCATCAGCCAGCGGTTGAATGAAGTCTCGAAACGCCGGCACTGCCACCTGCTCTGGGTCCGTCAAGGCATCCTGCAGGGGGGAAGCACGAGGGGTGGGAGATGAAAGGGGCACGGACAGGGACGGAAGGTGAGGGGCGGTGCAAACGAGAAGTGCAGGCGAGCGATGAATGATGCAAAGAGGGGTTGGTGATGGTGTCGGGATGAGAGACCAGAGGGCACCGGGTGCAGGCAGGTTGTCGAGACGAGGACGAGAGTGAAAAAACAAGGCCTCTGCTGAGCAGGGGGGGGCGGGAAGGAGAAGAGCGGCTCACAGGGTGCTTGTCAGCCCATCGAAACAGCCGATCCAGCTCCTTGTTCCCCATCAGGTAACGCGGCCTGAGGGGGTGGTAGAAAGGAGAGAAAGGGCGCGTCACGTAAACCCATCAGGTAAGGGAGAGAGAGGAAGGAATGGCAGAGCGCAGATTCTCAGACCTCATCGCCCATCCTAAATAGGGCACATACCGTTTGGGTGTTGGGTCGCGGCGGGGAGTGAGGTCAGCTGGGGGGCGGTCGAAGGGCGGACACACCTCCTTCTTCCATGCCACCTGGCGGGCATGCAATGCGGTTCAGAGGTGTTGAAAAACATGTGACGGGGGTCAAGGACCAAACGTAAGTCACTGGTTGTACACACCTGAATCGAAGGATTTTTTTTTTTTTTTTTTTTTTTTTAATTGAACCAACAAACCAGAAAAGTATCCTAAGTTCATAGAAATTTACCAGCTCCCCCACTTTCACCCCCAACCTTCTCATCCCCACCTACAACCCCCACCCTTACCACCCCCCCTCACTTCAACCCCCCCCCACGCACCCAGTGCTTCTCTCGCCGCATCACGTGCTCCACAGACGTCAGAAAGTCCTCGCCGCCCGGCGGTAACCTTCTCAGAAGCTTCTTCACCCGCGCCTCAAACTCCCGGGCCTCCGCCCTCTGAGCAGGCAGCAGGCAACGCAAGGGAGTGGGAACAACGTCTGAGATGAAAGCGTGTGTGGTTGGTTAAGTGATTGAAGAAGTGTTTTGAGACGTCTCAAAACAACGCAAGGGAGTGGGAACAACGTCTGAGATGAAAGCGTGTGTGGTTGGTTAAGTGATTGAAGAAGTGTTTTGAGACGTCTCAAAACAACGCGGGGGAGTGGGAACAACGTCTGAGATGAAAGCGTGTGTGGTTGGTTAAGTGATTGAAGAAGTGTTTTGAGACGTCTCAAAACAACGCAGGGGAGTGGGAACAACGTCTGAGATGAAAGCGTGTGTGGTTGGTTAAGTGATTGAAGAAGTGTTTTGAGACGTCTCAAAACAACGCGGGGGAGTGGGAACAACGTCTGAGATGAAAGCGTGTGTGGTTGGTAAAGAGACAACGGAGTGCATGACTGGGAGGATGAGGGGGTCTCAAAGGGGAGACGCTTACCATGGCTTCTCGCTTATCGTCCTTCTCTGCCTTCCCTGGAATCTGCACCTCACACATCGCACAGAACAGGCAAAGAGGATAGAAATCTTAGTTTGTGGCCCCTTCACACTCTACAGCGCAGAGCACTGCGCAGCAAGGAGCAGTAGGGAGCAGCACGCACCGCACAACACCGCACAGCACCGCAGAGCACGCACCATGAGGAATTCGAGGAGGATGAGGCACTGAACGAGGAACTGGCGCCTGAAGCTGCCTATTGTGGGGAC